ATTAATACATATTCTAAGTATAATTTATATATTTAAACATAACATTTATTTGTTTATATTTTATTATTTTATTTTAGTTATATATATATAGTCTATGTAATATATATGTTAAAATATTTTTTTTATTTAAATTAGAACAAAACATGACTTCATGTAAAACAAAAATCCATCACTAATTTCTTTAAAAATTTTCGGTAGAGTAACAAATTGTCCACTTCATCCCTAATATAAATCCATATTAAAGGATGTAAAATACAAGTAAAATTGAATTCAATTTGATAACCAGATATTATTAGATAATAATATTGGATGTGATCAATCATCGATAATTAATATCCAATATGATTAAATTTATCTTAAAGTTTATTTTTTTCCTGAATGCAAAGTAATTTTTTTATTTGATTTTCTTAATTTTTATGAAATTTAATTTTATTATTGGTTATATTTGATTCTTATTGAAATTTTCAATTATTTTTCTTTACATAATATTTTTCATATTTTATTTTTCTCTCTCAAATATTAAATATTTAAACACGGACTTTTTATTTTGAATTTAAAACTAAACTAATTATTTTTTATTTATTTGCTGGAATTAATTATTCAAATTTTTTTAGTTTTAAATATTGTTCTTGTTTTTAATGATTTATTTGAACTAATTTCATGTTCTTTATTAACTTTAAGTATGTTTTATTTTCATTTTAGTTTTAAAACATTTCCTCAACTAAAAAAAAGGTTGTCTATTTAGTACACTAAATATTATATATTCTTTTAATTTCTTATTCAATTTAAAATTTTATTTATGATATTTATTTATGAATTAATCATGTGACACATCAACCTTATCACCATTTTCAGATATTTTTCTTCAATAAAAATATTTTTAAGAATTATTTTAATTTTTTATCTAATTCAATTTTTATTTATTATATTTATTTATAAATTAATTTTTCAATAATTAAAAATAATCTTGTGCTACATCAATTTCTATCTTGTGTGAGAATGTTTTTAAAAACTTCTTTCACATAAGTGTTTTTAGAGTTTTTTTAACTCTAAAATTTAGACAATATGAAGGTATGAAAAAAAAAAAAATATCTGTATTTTGATGATAAAATTTGGAATCTTTTATTGTGCCTTGAGCATATACTGTGTCAATGTATTAAATAATTCAAATATACTAAAAAAAAACTTTTATGTATTTGAATACAATAATTTTCTTTTAAAATAAAATATCACATTTTGAACTTTTTTTTATTGAAACACAATATTTTGACCTGTTAGCATATTATATTTTTTTTTTTCTTTTTTACTTCTTATCATCTATACATGTAAAACTAATTTCATTAATAAGAGAGATGTCTAAACAAGGAATAATTTGCTATTTCATTATTCAAGTAGGTCCAGCAGATATTTAAACTAAAGCAGAAAGCTTTATAGGACGTGACGTTTAATAAAAAAGAAAACATCATTACACGTCATACCTTGTGCTTTTCTTTTTCTTTTTATATAATTACGACAACACTAATAAAGCCTAAACTTATAATTATTTATATATTATTTCAATCTCTCATTACTAACTCAATCTTAATAATTTACGTGTCATTTCTTTTAATATTAATATTTTGTTATATATAATAAATATTTTAAAAAATAATGAAAATTGAACATTTCTCCTTCTCAATTATTAAACTAGTTCTAGTTATTCAAACATGAGACATTAACTTATACATCGGCAATATAAATTTATTAATGTATAAATATGTATTTAGAGATATAATTTTTATTATAATTTATAATAAATAATTTAAATGGTGATCTTTTTTATTTAATGATATATTAAAAGATATTATAATTTAAATTACAATTAGAGATAAAAATAAAGTAGTTTGGATGGTGATATTTAAAAATCTAAAGAATTTAAAATTCTTATATTTTAAATTATTTTCATTTTAATTTTTTTTGGATAAATTATTTTAAAATTTTGAAATTTTAAATTATTAATTTGGATAAAATATTTTAATTTAAACTATAAAAAATTGATTTTAAATAAATAAATAAATAAAAATTAAAATTTATAAAATAAACAATGGATAATTTTAAATATTTAATAATTTTAAGAAATATTAAAAAATTCTTAATAATTTAAAAATTGAATATTTAATAATTTAAAAATGATTGATATTTTTATATCAACATTGAAAGAGATGAGAGAGAGAGAGAATTAGCATTTTTGTTTTTAAATTATAAAAATGACACGTGAACTATAAATAAAATATAATAAAAATATGGTTTAAATATATTCTTAATTTCACAAATTTAAAAATTTAAGATAAATTTATTTTTGGCCATTCAACTTTAAAATTATTATTTTTAATCATGTAAGTTTCAAAAATCTCGTTTTAACTCTTTAAGTTACTAATAATATGGTTGAAAGTGACAAATTGACACAATGATATGATATTAGTTGAATTTAATGTGATGTTTTTATTAACAAAAACATTAGTATGTAAATTTTATATAATAATATTTTATAGTTTTTTTAACAAAATTTGAATATAATAATTAAAACAAGAGTTTTTGAAATTACACGATTAAAAAATTACTTTTAAATTTAGAAAATTAAAAATAAATTTAAAGTTTAAATATATTTTTAGTCCTTCATATTTAAGGTAAATTTGTTTTTAATTTCTTAAATTTAAATTTATTATTTTTAATCCTTGTAATTTTTAAAAATCTCATTTTAATCTCTCATGTCACTGATAAAATATTTAAAACTAAAAATTGAAACAGTTATACAAAAATACTAATAAATAGTTTTCATACAATAATATTTTACAGATTTTTTAACAAAATTTAAATATAAAAATTAAAATAAAGTTTTTTAAAATTACAAAAACTAAAAAAAGTAATTTTTAATTTAAAAGATTAAAAATAAATTTATCTTAAACTTAAGTGTTAAGCTTGAAAATATTTAATTAAAAAATGTACTGTTGACCTTGATCGTGAATGTCGTCCATATTTTAAGAGAAATTGGCAAATGCAGTCTCCTTATATTTCTTTTAATTACTACTTCGCAGGCAAATCAAACTGAAAGAAGAGAGTCGTTATTCTTCCCTCCAAATTTGGAATCTAGGCCTGGACTTCGTTTCATCTTTCAACCCATCCAAAGATAACTTGAATTTTGAATCGCACCAAAGAATCAAAATTTTGACATCATTTCCAAATATTGAACTCCTTTGAATATTTGAGATTATTACACAGTATTTTCCCAAGTGCGTAATTTGACAGAAGTTATGAGTCAAATTATGTAATCACCATTAACTTTAATTTACCCATATTATTGGTACGTTTATTAGCTTTCTTCATCACCAAATTTTTGTCCATTATTTTTACTGAAATCTTTTTTCTCAATTATATATTTTTTCTATCTATAATACTTGAATTCAAAACTTATTTAAAAAAAATCAAATCAATTCTACTCGATTTGTTAACGTTAACGATTTGTTTTGAGTTTACATAAATATTGGCATCCTTAAAATAATAAATAAGACTCTAATTCTTTTATAAAATATATTTATAGCTTTTCTTTTGTCTATGATTAATAGTGACAATACAATTTAAACTTGAAATAATACTTCGTATAAATTTTTTATAAGGAAGTTTAATTATTTCTCACCAGATCTTTCTGTATAAAAGTAAAGTAGTACCTCATAATCATAACTTTCCTAATATTTCCTAGTTGTGACTATTCGTCTTGAACATTTGAAAGTATTACTTTATCCATAAAGAATTGATCCAATGGAAAGAAGTCTTTATAAAAAATGACTTAGTAGATCTTAAAAAATATTTATATTTACAATTATACTTTGAGTAATATTTTGATCATTATTAAAACAAGCTCTTCCAGAGATAAGAGTAGCTTAGACCCTTCCTTCTAAGAGCAATGTTTCGACTATAAATTGGCTAACATCAATAAGAAATACCACATTTAAAGTATTATCCATTTTGATATTCGTTGGACTGTTACAGTTCTATTCTTTAAAAGATATTTTATAAAATAAAGAGAGAAAATATTTATAAATTATTTTTAATCTCAATTATAAAGTAATGTGAGACTTTTAAGTTTATCGGAACAAATAATACTAAAGGAAGATAATTGTACGAAAATATTTATTCACTAAAAGGCTTCATTAAATTATGGCTGCAGTATTGTTTGATTAGGAATTCATTCAAGATCAAAATAAGAGTACGTATATTCAGATGAGTGAAACTTTGAAGAGGTTGGAGTTGAGTTTGCTCATTGTGTTCTTTTCCTTAGTTTGGAAGTTGTTGGCATGCTGCTACGTTATTTGGTGTGGAGTTGAAAAATAAACACGTAGAAAATGAATTTCTTTTGTACTAAAGTCATCTTACAAATAATACAAATGTTTCTTGGCTACAACTTACTTAGTACAGACAACAAAATTAATAACCATAATGTGTGGGATCAAATCTCGCTTCTGAGTTCTTAGGGGAATGGAAACTTCATCTCAATCTTGGGAACTCCCCTTAAAAGCCTGACATTAATAAAAACAATTTTATGGTAAGGTAATTTTAATTTGTATGGTGTTATTTTGAGAGGCTGATATTGAAATTGAAGAACAGGAAGAATGGAGGAATTTCCGGGTAAAAGTCCAAAATGGTAAGAAAAATAGGTCAAGGAATATAACATTAAGATGTACATGTGACATGTCCCACCCAGTGTTGTCCCTATGCCACACAGTTTAGTCTCGGCGGACTTTTGTCAAGCCGCGTGGGTCCAACCTCTCATGGTCCTACTTCACAAATCTCATAATAATAAGTAGAGTCGTAATTACAAGTCCATTTTCTTTCAAGATTTTTTGCAGAGACTTTTGTGCCCCTTTGCCTCCACGACCAAGTCATAACCCAATTAATAAAAATTAAAGGCATAATTAGCACAGTAAAGGCACGAATTTCGAAACCTGCCATTCCTTATAAATACCCTCTCCCTTCACATATAGCAACCAACTTTGTGTTTCCTCAGCAGAGAAGAGAAAAATTAAAACATCGCTTAAAAGTGGGTAAAGTGCGGTAGCTAGCACTATTGAGCTAAACACTAACTAGTCATAACCAAGCAAGCATATTGATGATATGGCATCCATGGAAGACATGAACATGAGTGGGGAAGTTACACTTCCAGGGTTCCGATTCCACCCCACAGAAGAAGAACTCCTCGATTTCTATCTTAAGAACATGGTCGTTGGCAAGAAACTTCGTTATGATGTCATTGGTTTTCTCAACATCTATCATCATGATCCATGGGACTTGCCTGGTAATCATATTATCTCTGTCTCACTTATATAATTGGTACCACATGTTATATATGTTGATAGATATTTAACAATGTTATATATATATATATAGGTTTGGCAAAGGTTGGGGAAAGAGAATGGTACTTCTTTGTGCCAAGGGACAAAAAGCATGGGAGCGGGGGAAGGCCTAACCGCACCACTGAAAAAGGGTTCTGGAAAGCAACCGGTTCAGACCGGAAAATAGTTACCTTGTCTGATCCGAAACGCATCATCGGTTTAAGGAAGACCCTGGTTTTCTACGAGGGAAGAGCTCCTAAGGGATGCAAGACCGATTGGGTCATGAATGAGTACCGTTTACCTGACAATTGCAAATTACCTAAGGTAGATACATACTATTTTTATTTATCTCTTTTTTTAGGCACCTATCGTATGCAATATTTTAGATTCCTTTCCTTTGCCCATTAATTAATTTCTTATTCAAATTATACAAGTATTATTTCCTTTATTTATTGCTTTATTTCTTTAGTCATCAAAATCAAATTAAAAAAAGAAGTAAAAAAACAAAGAAGGGAAATTTCCATGAAGTTAGAGCGACAGTGATAGCTACTTTGTGTACGGCAAGGATGGGAATCCATGTAGTGTGGTCCCTTTTCGTCTTTTATGAACCCCTTTCATTCACAAGAAAGTACACATTACATTATAAATTAATGTAGCTACAACTAGAACTAATTACTAATATATGTTTAGAGAAACATTAAGAATTGTGGTATTTGGAACAGGAAATCGTGTTGTGCAAGATATATCGAAAGGCAACTTCTTTGAAGGTGCTGGAGCAAAGGGCAGCCCTAGAGGAAGAGAGAGAGATGAAGCAAATGGTTGGTTCCCCTGCGTCCCCTCCTTCCTCCACGGACACCATGTCCTTCAGCAGTCCTCAAGAAGAGCAAAACGTGCCCCTAATTCCTTTGTTGCAACATGTTCTTAAGAAAGAATCTGAAATTGAAGAAATGGTGTCACTGCCAAAACAAGAAAAAACTACAACCAACCAATTGGGCTTAAAAGACAACAAAGGCCCATGTGGAACTTCCGTACAATTGCCCTTCGGGAAGGACAAGCTCCCGGACCTGCAGCTACCCATGCTCACGGACTGGACCCAAGACACATTTTGGGCCCAATTGAATAGCCCATGGCTACAAAACTTTACTCCAACCAACATCTTAAACTTCTACTGACTCCACGCAACGCAATGCATTGTTACTCAACTGCAACTTAATTACTTATTATAGCCTATTTGTTTTGGAATGTATATGCACTGAATTAATTAATTATTAATAATGTGTTTTTATATTAGGTGAATTAACTAGACAGATTTTCGTGCACATATCGTGTTTTGCTCAAATTCTGCCTAGCTACAACTTGTTATCAACCCAATTCCCCCCTCCCTTCATCATGTTATTTCATTACTCTGTCAATGAATGTTCAACAAGTAAATTTCATCAGCAAATTTCAATTGCTATTCACTTTTTGTTTTTGGAGATTTGTTTTAATGACCATTCCATACTCACATAATTCACAATTCCCTCTAGTTCATAATTCATAACATTAAGGAAGAAACTATTATTTTGATAGCTGAAAGTGTATTGTAGTATTACGTTGATCTCTTTATAATTAAGAAAATTGTAAATAAAGTTTCTTAAATTTTATACGTTTTGTTTCTAAATTTAATTATATTTAATTGTTTATTACTTGGAAAAGACTCGATAGTTCATTTTAAGAGACAACTATATTTAAGAAAGATTTTTCAACAACTAGACCCTCAAAACACCACAATACCATATTGTTGAGCACCGGGGGGTGACCACACATATACACATGTCTCCACATTGGTGAGATATTATCCGCTTTTGATCCAAGCCCTCACAGATTTGCTTTTGGACATCACTCAAAAGGCCTATCAACCAATAAAGATAACTGTGTATATAATTCCATGTCCATCATCATGTTTGAACGATTGTTTGTATCCCAACACATATCTATAATAATATATAAAGAGGATACTACTTTCAATAACTACTTTTGGTTTCCATTTTTACATGAACCATTTTATCCTTTATTTATTTTTCAATAACTACATTTTTTTATGAGTAACTTCTCATTCTTTTTCATAATTTTTTTTAATATAATGCAGACACAGAGTGCCTTTTTCCTGCTAGTCTTCATAATGGAATATTAATCTTTTAAAATAACACATTTTCTCTAATGTTAAGTCAATCAATACAACACAATTATATGCATCAAGCATTCACAACATAACTTTATTCAACAATATACAACTTAACATCATACAACTCTCATACTAATCAACTTATAACTTAAGCAACTTAAACATAATTATACATCATCCTAGACCAATGCATAATGAACTATAATCATATCACAACATAAATCATGTGAGTAATTCAATCCACTTAAAATATGTTAGTCAAATAAACAACAAATTTTCATTGAGTAACTCATGCTCGTCATCATTCTCTCAATGCTCGATGTTGTTGAGACAAAGAGCCTTTGATTAGCCCATGCCTAACATCAATTCACTTGTGTTTGACGTGGATGAGATAGTGAACCCTTGTGTCAATTAAGTCTGGTGTAACTAGACCTACACTTGACTTCATCTAGGCAAAAAGCCTCTACCTTATCCATGCCTGATGCCACAAAACATGCATTTGGTGTCGTCCAGGCAAAAAACTATTAACTTGATCATACTCGATGCCACTTATCTTGAGCCTAGCGTCACTAAGTTAGAAATCTCCATGGACAATCATGCTCGACGCCCCTCAATCAACGTCTAATGTATTCAAGTCAAAGAGTTATCTTTTAACTTACACTTAGCGATACCAATATTGCGCTCGATTTTAGTGAAGTCGAAAGCTTCTAACCTGCATCATGCTTTATACTATGAAGTTGTGCTTGACATGATGGTGATTTCTGCACTTGACAAAATCACCATTTGATACTAAAACCTTAAAATCTCACAATCAATCCAACATGCAACTCAACAAATAACATATAATCAAGTAGAACAACTTAATCACCATTTTGAACAACATGCAACAAGAAACAACAAAAATTTCTAACTTTCAAAACCCAAAAACAAGAAGCCACTTCTCAAATTAACAACCCAATATATTTCTTGATGGATTCAAACAAAGATCAATACATATAACAAAACAATTAACAACCTATAAGATTTCCTTACCTCAATTTCTAGAAGAGAAAAAAAAAGGGAAAGATAAATTGACTATAACAAATAATAAAGAATAAATTGTTCCAATGATTGTGTATTTTTCATATTGAAACAAAATTAAGGACTAAAATTTTATTTGGTTACATTTATGGGAAGAAAAAGAAAACTTATTTGATAAAGGTTTCTTTTAAGTAAAAAAATACTATGTAACTTATTAATTTCTCCAAAAGGTTTTGTGAATAAATCATTTTATTATCCGTAAACTCGTCTATGCAAAGAAGGTTTTATCATCCACAAAACAGAGGTGAGAGAGTTTATAACTATCTTTGGATAACTGAATCAGTTTCATAACTGCATATATAACTTTTTAATGAAGGATCACCAATAGCTGCATCTGCGAGGAGGACATGCATTTCACAATAACATGAAAGTCTCATCAATGAATTTTCATTTAAGCCTATAATTGTCTCTTTTAAAATCATTTTAAATGGTCAAAAATCCCATTTTGTCTCTCATGGAATGAATAGCTTGGACAATAGTAATAAATAATGAATTACATATAATACCAATATGTTGTATAATTAAATATTTAATAAACATATAAGATAAAAATATATAGCAAGTTACTAGATTGTGACTGCAATAGCCTTTATTTGCTTTTCAATTTAAGGGAATTTGGTACCCACAAGATATGATGGGATTGAAGCAATTGATTGGCGTAGACTTCTTCAAAGAGCATAAATTTCAATGCGAAAATGACTTTTATGTGTTACTGAATAAAATGACACCTTAATGGTACGTAGAAAAGGATATAAATTTTATTGATTAAAAAGTCATGGTGATTGAATATAAAATTAATGATATTAAGAAAATTTATATTCCTCCTATTATTAACGTCATACTATATTATATTATATTATATTATATTATATAACATGAGTAGACAAAAATAAGAATGACAATAAAATGAACTAGATATAATACCTCTTGTCAAGTTGACTCGAAATTAGTTTCGTACTTGCATAAGTATTCAAATGTCCACAAAATTTATAAATATTTCCAAATTTTTAATTAAATATATTTTAAAAAAAATTATAGAAAATAAATAAAATTAAAAATTAATTATATATGTTTGCTCAAAATAAATTAAGTAAGTTACTTCATACATAATTAAATGAATAATTTTAAATTACATGTATTTACAAGCACAATTACATTACTACATGGGAGAAGAGAAAAAAAATGTTTATTTTATCCAAAAGTATTGGCATTTTTTTTGGTACAACAAACATATTTTTTCTTCATTATACAAATTTAGTTTTTATTTTTTCGTCCATAAACAAAGTTTACATAATATTTCTAAATTGACAACAAAAGGCTATACAAGTTTGTTTAAATGAGTAGAATTATTATTAAGAACAATTTCTTTTTATAGTTTTTAATGCAATTGCATAAATAAAATTCAAATTTGAAATTTTTTAAACAGAAATTCAAACTTAATAATAGTGATTAAGTTGAAACAAAAAGTTGATTCATGCATTTTCGATAGTACCTATTAAACTATCCATTTTAAATTTCTAACGATTTGATACATATCAATGAGTGTAGGTTTTGATTTATGTTTTGTTTTACCATCGCATGTTAAACAATCTTTTACAAATTACAACTATAATCAAAGTTTTATTGATAAAAAAATCTTTTCTTCTTTTTCTCGAAAATAAATAATAAAAATACTTTTGAAATAATTTTTCAAAACAAATAATAAAAACACAACTAAATATTTTTCGTAATGTTAAGGTGCAAAACAGTATAAACATAACGTTATGGTTGAACTAACCAATTATGTCAACTTCAATAATAAAATTAATATTTTTTTTCGTAATGTTGATGTGCAAATTAATTAATGGTGTTAATTTCAAAGATTAAATTGATATTTTTCTCCTTCTTAAACATAAATTGGGTTTGTTTTGTGCAAAACACTAGTAATAATTGTAACATAATGAAAAACATTAGTTGTAATTGTATTGGAAGGATTTACAAAATCAATTTCGTTTACAATTACATCCATTACTCTGAAGCACAGTGTAATTTTCCTTTGTTTTCTATTATGCCTTATGCTGTTTACATATTACAGTTATTTTTGGTGATTGATTATTGTCAAAGTCTGGCCTCATAGTATTTTGGTTTCACACGTATTTTGATTCACATATACGGAGTTTCTGGAAAAAATTCGACCAAAAACTTGGTTTAATTTTGGTATTCTACCTAAAGAGAAAAATTAGGCAATTTGCCATTCTGGCTCATTAAACTTTATGATTATTTGTAATTATGAATTCTGATCGAATAACAGTTTTTAAAATCTTTAATTTTCTGTAATTTATTCAACATTTTTTTAATATAATTTTCTGAGAATTTTCAAAATAATAAAAAATAGTATTTAAAAACAATCCGAAAATGCTATTGATTTTGAGGATGGGCCTATGGTATGTTAGCGTCATGAATTGTATCATTATAAAAAATTTCAACCATGAAGTATAAAAATAATAACATTATTATTTACGATTTCTTGTCACTTTTAGTGTCCAGCTAATTGTAACATTTGCAAAATTTCAAACTTGTGTATGCAGATCGTTGAATTGAAGATTGGCCTCATAAAAGGAAGCACGACTTGGTCGCTTCATTCAAGATCAAAATATTGAATTGTTCTAAGTAAGGTTTCTATTTCCAGTTTGTTTGATCGAAAGAAAAGGAAAATAAATGAAAAAAAAAAGTAAAGATAACAAAAGTTAAAATGTATCTTTATTTTTATTTTCTCTTCAATATAAAAAAAATGGAAAAGGAGAAAAGTGATTTTATAGTTTTAAACTAGGCATGGCAATCTAACCCGCTCCGGTGGGTACCCGCCCGAACCCGCCTCGATCTGGATGGGAAAAACCCGTATTTATCGGGTTCGCGTTTGGGTTCGTGTTTTCCCCGATTGATAAAATCGGGGAAGGAGGCGGGGGCAGGGATGTTAATACCCACCCTGCCCCCGCCCCGCTTAATAATATAATTAAAAAATTATTTGTATATATATATGAACCAAAATTATAAATATTTATATGTAAAAATTTATATTTTACTTTTCTTTTATTTTTTTAAATTGTTCATATTTATTTAAAAGAAAAAAAGAAGAAAAAAATAGGAGCGGGGGCGGGGAAACCTGAATCCCGCACCTCACTAGGAGCGGGGATGGGGACCCAGATTTTATCTTCGACAGATATCGAGAGCGGGGCGGGACGATTTAAATTT